GCTGCTTTTATCGTGAGCTACGTAAACTGTAATCGAACGTCAGGAAGGTGGTATTTTCGCACGTGATAAGTTTCTTTCCTTCGATGGAAAAGCTGTGTTTCACTTTTTTCTTCGCAACTTTTTATATTATTTATGCTTATTTTTTCAACTGTTGAATGCTAACTGGCAATTTTAAAAAATTTTCCATCCCTTTGCTCTGATAATTGTCTGGAAGTGTTCCAACTCTGCTAAAATTTTCCAAGGTGCTCTTTTTTTTTTTTTTGTAAAAACTCTAATTGCAGACTTACGGTGCTTTTAGTGAGTTCATTTGGATGGCCTGCATTAATACTGAGCAGTAGTTTCAGCATATTTTAAATTTGGTAACTCTGAGAAGTCGAATTTTCATAGGAAATGCCTCATTATCTAGGGAGATGGGAGGAAGCACAAACTTGTTGAGGCGAGCATTTCTGAATGAAAAAGGTCAGCGGAATGACAATGAAAACTGTAAAGTGCAATGACCTGGAATGACATTTGTTGGCTTATTTTACAATATTAAACGTATTCATTTACGATTTATACCTCAATCATCAGTTTCACTAGAGGTCTCGTTGGCTACCTTAAAGCAATTCACCTCAGTAACAGCTTTTCATGTCGACTGCTGAAATTTTAATTTTTGACTTTGGCTACATTTTTACAGGAACGAAAAGTTCTGGATTTGAATTTTGTTAAATTAGGTGGGATTTTCTCGTCACATCAGTAATATAACATTTGTGGGTGTCAGTGCCTGGGTGGGACTACTCACGAAAGAGGAGGCAACAGAAGGTAATAAGGTTGTGTAGTCCCACCTCTTGCTATACCAAAGTCCGGTCACAAACTTTTCTTTTGTACTGGTGTTTCTGGAGATATGATTGATGAAATGATTCAGAATTTGCTTGCCGAGAGCGAGGAACTGAAGCCTAAGTTGGAGATCGTGCGCAAACGGCTTGAGGATAAAATAGTCGCAAATACGGCGCGCCGTAACAAGAACCAGTCGCTTAAAGAGGACTGCGATTTCCTGAAGACATTTGAGGGCATAAGTCTTAAGAGAAATAAATAGCGGCTTGCACCAGGATAGTTAGTGTAGTTACACATTTTTTACAAAAATCCTGTTTGGCCGGGTTTGCTCTCAAAGATTTGTGCTACATTGCTGTTTCGTGTGTGCAGAAGTCGGCAGAATGTTTTGTTCGGCCAAAACTCATATTTTTCAGTTTGCAAGATCTAGATATACGTGGGAGCTGAATATGAAATTTTAGGGTCGCATATGTATAGGGAACATTCTCCTGAAATTTCTTCTTCCTGCCTTGCCTGGTTCCAAAGTTGAGAAATCTTCTGTCGGCGTTCATATGTGGGGTGTAGGCATATGCGGATGCTGAATCTGAAATTTTCTGTGCCGCGCACGGGCACATAGCATTCTCCTCAAGTTTCAGCTTTCTGATTTTTCTTATCGATTTAGCAACTTTCTCCCCAAAACTTCATATGCCCGTAAATGAGACCTAGGCCTGCATGAAAACTGAATTTAAAATCTTTGGATTTTCCTTACATGCCCGATTCAATCATTTCGCTGTAATATAACATTTACATCAAACTGATCAGTGTTGCGATGCATCGGTATGCGAACTTCGAGCTCTGAGCACGCTACAGAGATACTTTGTCACTTTTGTTCGGCTGAGCTTGTTATCTCGTCTTGGTGGTGCTAAGGATAGGATTTTATAAGGAAGCGGACTCAAGGTTTATGCTTTGGCTGTTTTCGTCCCTTTCGTTGTGCCCCAGAAATTAAGCCAAGTTCTTTTGCAGTAGAATTTTTAAGCAAGTGTTTCCTGTGAAAGATGGTCGCTTTTAAAAGTGTCTGCAAAGCTTTTTGTCGGCAGAGAGTGCCTAGGCTGATTGTGTGATATTTGGCTTCACTAATGTACTGCAGAGCGTAGCGATTCCCATGCCTACCATTCAAAGTCTAAATACCCCATTCATTGTGTTGACGATATCCGAGTGCTCGTTTTCTCGTTCATGAACATTGTTTGCGGGCAAGAGATGTCCATTATGATTAACTGAGGGGTTTTGTCCCTACCCTGCAGGACTTTATTTTTTTGTCAGTGTTTTCACCAAATTGTTCTTTAATCGCGAAGGTGGACGGAAACTTTGGTTCTTCTCCCTTTGTCACTGTCTTTGTTATGGCAGTGGATCCTGTTAGCTGACGCAAAAAGTTATTGTGTTTGCAGCAGCTGAAGGAGATACATCGGAAACACCAAGTGGAGAAGATGACAACGGCTCGTGAGATGGAGCGTGCGTACAAGTCACGCCTTCAAGAGCAGCTCCAGGCGATGCGTGCCGGGTTTGATGCACGCTTAAACGAAAATCGACGTGATATTGATGAAAAATACAAAGTTAGTTTGCTTCTGCTTCTTCACTTCAGCAGGCTGCAAGCCGATCTCAGCGCAAATGCATTTAGGCATCAGCCTGCTCATTTTGCCTTTGCTTCCGTGAAATGTGAAACGAAGATTCCTCAGGATCGGCTGTTTGTATTTCCTTTCTGTTTTTATGCGTTTTTTGCACCTATGCAATGCAAAAAAGCCGTTTTGTCCCCTATCTCCAAAACAAACACTTACAAATACGTAGTACGCATGTGCGGGCCTCTGGAAATTTTTGTCGGGTAAACTACTGGTACTGGAGTTGGAGAAGCTAAAGAGCTGAAATTTTGGGGAGATGCTTACTCTTCATTTAGAACCTGATGACTTCAAATTCAGACCCCAAATGTGCGTAATTTTCGCGTACAGGTTCATAAAAGTTTTTGATGGATAATTTGCTAACTTGGGACCAGAAAAGCTGGGAAGCTGCAGTCTTAAGGGGTATTTCTTGACAGTCCGGTGGCTAGTCTCAATTCGTTTAGCTAGAAGCATCTCCCGGAAAAGCCGGCGTCGTTAACGATAAAAACTTTTGCGAATGAATGCAAAATACATCTTCGCACCGAAAATCGGTGCGCTGGCCACTTATACTGCTTTTTTCTTGCTTATTACTCTCTTTTTGCGTTCTGTTGGTGCAGGAGAGCATATCAGTTGCGAGATTCTTTTTGAAATTCTCAAGAGCTATGACGTTTGCAGATGATTCTGAGCATTTTTTGCGAAGTGAAAGCGGGGCTGAAGCGTCTTTTTAAGCGGGGATTTTTCAAACTTTAATAATAAAGCATTGTAGCGTACAAGGCGTTGCAGTACTTGCCGCAGCTGCCTTCGTTCCGAGCTCATGTCTTGACAAAGGCCCAGTTTAAGCTGAAACTGCTTCAGAACAAGTTGGACGAAGCAAACGAAGCGCTTCAGCAGATGAATCAGGCGCAGGAGGAGACGGCACGCATGCGACTTCGCGTTAACGAGCTGGAAAAGACTGGCAGTGGTTATGAGAGCCGGACCGAGGCACTGAACAGGAAGATTGCCGATTTTGAGAGTCAGGTTAGTTATTTGTTCATTTAATCCTGTGACTGTACAATCTTTTTCAATAAGTGTTATGCAGCCACGAGTCGACGGCGTATCCTTAGGCAAGTTTATTCTTGCTTTTTGACAAAGCAGATTTTATGGTCGTCTGAGACAAACAGAATACATGCAGGAAAAAAGGAAAAGACAAAGTACATGCAGGGAAACTCCGAAATTGGTGCCTGTAATACATAGTTGCAGTAGTTGTTAAGCGAAATGCTGGCGAAATTTTGAAATGTTTCTTTGCCTTACTTTATCGCAGGACATTTAAGCTGCGCCTTACTCGTGATGATTACGATCTGCGTCTCAGCCAGCGCGATAAACGAGTTGTGGAGCTGCAAGAAGAAATTGGCCGTCTGCTAAATGAGAACCAAGATAAATTCGACCTGGGAGTTCAGCTTAACACCGAACTGAAAGCTTACCAGGAGTCACGGTATCACATTTATTGCTTCTCGAGAATATTTCTGATAGATTTCGTGCTAGAGATATAAAAAAAAACTCCTGCTGGTATTTTCTTTTTTGCTCTGCGGAGGTATATAAGCGAAGGGGTGAACCCAAATGCTGGGTCTTTACTGTCAGTAATACCTTCGAAAGTTTAGATTGAGCATCTCGCGACAACCACCAGCGGCATCACCAGCGGCTCCTGGCGATCGTTCTCTGAATGTTTTGTCCGCTTATTTTGGATGGCTTCGTGCAGTCAAAGGGAAGCGCTTCATCGCATCCGAAGGCAGTCTCACCGGAACATTGCCAGGAAATACGAAGTATTACCTTTTATGCGCTTTGTGCTGTGTGATAGTGGTGCAAAACGCACATTGTCACGGGGTTGTCTGTATGTGTGCTTTGTGTGTGTCCCACATTTTGTTCCACACTTTCAACTCGGGGACCACGAAAGCTAGACGGCTGAAATTTCAGTACAGTGTTCCCCACCAACGGGTGACGCGGCAAATTTAAATTCAACCTTCTTGTACCCGCGGTAACATGTACGAGCCCGTATAAGCTTTTCAAGTAAAATCAGTGTCTCGGGAACCACGGAAACTGGGAGGCTGAAATTTTATAGGTATGTCCTCTGCCCACTTGCAATCCAAATAACTTAAACTCAGCCTTCCCGCGTCTGCGGGTAACACGCAGGGCCCAGTAAATTTTTGGTGCGTAAAGTCATCTCAAGAACCGCGGTGGCCAGGGGCTGAAAATTTTATGGGTGTGCCTCCCGACCACGTGAGAGTTGCGATGTGAAAGTCGCTAGCTCGGAAGCCGAGAAATTACAGAGTTGAAATTTGGAGGAATGTTCTCCATCCATGTTTTCAAATTCAGTTTTCGCGTGCCAGCACGTGAAGTTTTCAATGGGAAATTCCTCACTTTAGGGGCCAGGCAGCATATCTGTTGTTTTTCCATACACGAAAGTGTAAAACAGTTATATCTTTCGTAAACAAGCATCCGCTGGAGGAATTGCGCAAAACGCACCACACGGCTACGCTGGCGCGCTTCGCTATTTGTCTCTTTTTTCCTGGCACCTTTCAGCCTTCCATTCCTGCATCGTCAGGAATCGGTGGCTCAGTCTGCCCCAGTGAAGGGCTTTAATTCCAGATAACATCCAATTCGGACTGCGATATTGAGATCGAGGAGCATGATGTGGACGGCAAGTTCATCAAACTGTG